CTTCAACCTGGCAAAAATACAAACATCTCCAACGAGACTTTTCATCATTTACAAACTCCTGTCCAGTATAGAAACTACTTTGTCCTGCTAGATTTGGAATCGGACCAGTGGACATCTGTCATTGTTTAACAACCACAATTTAGCACACCGCTATAGAAAACTTAAGGCAATTACAATTATACAAGATATATACACATACCTGTGTAGTAACAACATCATTTGACAACACTTGAGTTTCTGCATCGGCCACAGAAGTACAGAAGAAACTATTCCTGTTGTCGCTGTACTGATGTCCTTTTCCTGAAAATATCATAACACATTTATAATCAAGTCGATATTATTCTAAACTTCAAATAGTAAATAATGTTTCAAAAAATACTGAAATAATGTGTAAGTCATACCAATTCTTTGTTTTTGTAATTTTTTCTTTTAACCCTACGTACAATTTCTTCATCTTCGACTGCTTTCTTCTACATGGAGGACGACCTTTGCTACGACTGCTTGTAGTAATGTTAGGGTATTCCCCTCTTTAGGAGGACTGTCCCTATCTTGACTAGTCAAACCGTTTCTAGAAGAGATGTTCACTGTTGTACCAAGCCCTCCCTCACTTTCCTTTTGCTCCAACTCTTTCCTCAGTCAATCATAAACTTCGTCATCATATATAATCTTCCTCATGTTTGATGTTAGATTTGCTACTGTCAGCATTAAATTAGACACTTATCAAAACGTTGTCCTTCAATGTTAGTGCTCCACCTATTATAACTGACCTTAATTTTCGTATGACATCTGTTCACATTTTTCCTCCAACCAATAAAATGTACTTTTTCGGAACGTGTGAAACCCTTTTAGAATCAACACCATAATGCGATGTCTGCATAAAATCCCCTGAACTCAAACAAATGACAAGTACAATGAATATCACATGAACTTTCTTCAAAGTATACTACATGAGGAACACGACGACTATTATCTCCAAACCAAACATTTTCCCAAACTTGAAACTCCTCACATGAATCACATTTTTCAGAAAAGACAACTCACAATAAATCTTCCCGGCAATCTCATCTTGAAGCTTTTTAAACTTTGCAGTTGTGTATGCACTTTGAAATTGTTTCTCAATGGGTAATTATTTTGGATGGTATCCAAGATTTGAAAGATCTAAAATCAGCCTCCCTTTCTTTTTCCACTTTGGCTCGCAATGCATTATCATATTGTCCACAAATTGTTTCAAAGTGGTTTTGGAATTGACATACCCATAAAAAAATGCATGCATACTTTCACTACGTTGGGCAGTGAACTACCTGCCCAGAAAGTATCTTTAAGATGCAAGCACCCATCGTACTATTTCTTTGTACAATCCACATAACCATACATTCTCGTGAAGGTTGTGCACATCACAAATTGGTTCCATCACTCTTCGAACTCTTCATGCGTAAAGGAATCATACACAACATTTTGCAACTTAAACTTGATAGTTTTATATTCCTTATACCCCCTAACTTTTCAGGAAGTTTCTTCATTATATGCCACAAACACCACCTATGCCTTACCAGGGAAAACAATCTCAATTGCATTGCATGGCCTTATCTTGACAGTGAATATTTTATTAGGAGCGACATCCATGCATTCAAGCCAAGAACAAAATACCATGCAATGTCTCAGTGTCCTCATGAGAATAACCCACAACCTACACACGTCGAATGTCCATGATGATCAACCCCCACAAAAGCGCAAATGGCATGTCATACTTGTTGTCGCTTACGTTGTGTCGAAGGTGATACATCACCGAATTCTTTATATGCAGCCCTACATCTAGCATAAACCCATAACACATTCTGTAATCGACTCTCTTCCATCTACATCAATCATGTACCAGAAATTTGAATCTCCTTTTGCATTTCCTAAAATGCTCAAGTACTGCGGAAGCATCTCCAACTCCAAGTCGTAACTTTCTCACTTTTTCAATGTAGTTCTTACAATCTTTTTCTAGAACGTCAAATTCTCTACACCTCTTGCCTCAACTGAACATGACGAAAATTTTTACACGATCCAATCCTAGCCACATCATTAACTTCAAGTTGCTTTTCACATACGGTTGTATCGTTCGGTTAACCTTGAAATATCTTCTTTTGTTCGGACTTGTAAGATCATGGTTATGTTCAAGTACAACTGATTTAATTTCCCATTTGCATTCACCATTCAAAGCTGCACTAATCTGACTCTTACATCTGTTTTGGCAACAAGTTGTTTTTTCAAGGTATTTCTGGACTTACATCTCTCCTTTCCAGAACAAACATGGCCACTTCGCGACATATATCCTCTCTCCATCTTCGCCTTTCTTTGACGTACGTATCATTGCTTATTTTGTTACCATACCGTTTGTAATACTTCACCAAACTATCAACTGAATCAAACACCATTCCAATATGAGGCTCTACTTCTTCCTCTGCACATCCCATATCTTCTAATTCATCATGTTCATTTTCTTGATTTAATAGTTTTATAATACATAAAATTAGAATGTACTAATACAACACATCAAAATAAACAATACGATACAATAAATTTAAAATCATTTTAACGAAAAAGTATTTCGAGTACAATTTACCTCAACATCATTGAAATGAGGCAAACTAGACTCTTCCATATTCTAAGCCAAACTGGACTCTTCCATATTCTAAGCCAAACTGAACTCTTCCATATTCTAAGCCAAACTGGACTCTTCAATATTCTGTAATTTAATGCAAATCCAATACTAGTGTTCACGAAATCTGAATCATAACAATCACCAACAAATTTTTTCTATCAGTTTTTTTCTATTGTAACATATATTCAATCCAAAATATAATACAAAGCTAAATAAATAGATAAGTTATATAAAAATTTCCACTGTAAAAAACTAAATAAATGCATAAATTATATAAAAATCGTTTATTAACCTGCACAAATCTTTCTAATCTCCCTTTCCACTGTAAAAAATGGATCTCCCTTTCCACCGTAAAAAATGGCTATGGTTTGATGAAAAGATTATAGCTTTCGTTCTTCACACGGTAGTTGGAAAATGAGGAAAACGTTTGTTGTAGGAAGAAATGGCTGAGGAATGCAGACGCAACACTGAGGCAAAGAACAGACAGCAACGATGAAGCAGAAGGGGACGATGAATTTTGGCGCTGGTTTTCTTTCGCTCGAAGAATTTTAGTGCTTGTTGTTGGAGAAGCGTATTGGAGAAGCTAATGTAAACAAAAAATATTTATTAAAAAAACACGATAATTTTTTTTTTAAATTTTAAAACATTGTGGATGGGCGTCCATAAGTAATGGACGCCCGTCCATAAGTAATGGACGCCCGTCCATTAAGTATGGACGGCTGTCCATAATGGTTGGACGGTCGTCCTTTACATAAGGGACGACTGTCCAACCCTTATGGATGGCCGTCCATAATGAATGGACGAGCGTCCATTAAGTATGGATGCCCATCCACAATTTAGGGACGGCCGTCCAGTGTTAAATTTTTTTTTTTTAACGAATTACTTTTGGACTGGCATCCATTACTTACGGACGCCCGTCCACAGTGAAAGGACGGCTGTCCATAATTTTTGGACGGCCGTCCAAAGAGTTTCTTTTTTATTTGTAAAAGCAAAATAATGGACGGGTGTCCATTTCTTACGGATGCCTGTCCAAAAGTAAGGGACGGCCGTCCACAATTGGTGGACTTGTGGACGGGTGTCCCCAAAGAATTTTTTTTTTTTTTCATATTTGGGTGAAGGACAAGCGTCCATTATTTGTGGGCGCCCGTCCAAAATTAATGGACAGCCGTCCATAATGGATGGACGACGGTCTCTAAGGTTTTACAAATTTTTTAATTGTATTTTAATCAGGGACAGGCGTCATTTAAATGGGGACGCTCGTCCCTTTTACATGGACGCCCGTCCATATAATATGGATGGGCGTCCATGTGAGTGAATGGCCGTCCATCCGCTCACTAGAAAAAAATTGTAAAAAAATTGAGACAGGCGTTACACGTAGGCCGGTACAGAAATTCGGTGCAACTTTTTCGGTGTCCGTAGTGTTATTGTTAAACAATAGATTTTGTCATGGAATCCACCAAGGGAAGTTCAAATTGATATAGTGATCTAATTTCTTAAAAATGCCTTATTAAAAGAATGATACAATATTTTGCAAATGAAATCACAAATTTCTTATCTCAAATGATGTGTCGTTAACATAGTATACATTGTATTAACTCTTTATTTACGTATCAAAATCACGTAAGATGACACATTATCTAAGATGTTAAATTTGGAATATCATTTGACTAATGTAGTATTATTCTTATCTTAAAGAAGATAATAAAATAATAGATAATTAGTACTAACAATTTTTAGAAAATAAGATATAAGGATTTGAATTGTTTGATTAGATCAAAAAACAAGATGGGGGATTTAAAAAAAAAAAAAAAAAAAAAAAGAAAGAGAGAAAGATTTTAGAAAAGTTTCTAATTCTTTAATTATTATCAACTTAATTAGTTTTTGTAAATATAACAATATTTATGACTGAATTACATTTTGATTCCTATCTATTGTAAAAGAACATTTTACTCTTGGTTTGTGATTTGATTTTTGTTAGTTTTTTCTATTTGTTATTTGATATTTGTTTAAAATTCTAAAGAATCTGTAGATGGTGGAGGATGTGTTTCTGGCTTTTATATTTGTTTTGTGAAAATGGCCTGGAGGTAATGATGAAGGAGGTAGTGGATGAATTTTGTGATTTTGATGAATTTTCTAGTAATTATTGAGCATTAATTTGTGACATTTTTATTAATTAATTTCAGAAAGAATTAAATAATAAGGGTAAAATTGATATTTTAATGGTGAAAGTGGGGTCAAATTGTCACTTAGATAGATGGCACTAACATATTGAGATTAATGCCATTTATTTGTGAAATAAGGGAGAAATGTTTTTAAAGCATAGATAATGGGTCCACATTAATCAACCCCAATATTCAAGTACAGTAATTCTTTTTATAACCACTTTACCGCTCAATTGTATACTACAAGAAGAAAAAAATAAATCAAAGCAACCAAGAGATCAAGATGGCAGTAGCCTAAAATTAAGCCTCCTCAACCAAACCGAGTGAAGCAACATATGAATCACATCAAATGGCTTGGCAGGCCGATTCATCACAAAATGTTTCGAAACTTGTTGCACATTTTTCTGCATCTCCAAATACTTCTTATCTGATATCCCTCTTAAAATCTCCTTAATCTCTGGTATTTTCTCCGATGGAATGTCAACTGAAAATTTACTCCAATCTAGAACATCGCTAAATGGTAACGCATAATGATCAGAAATTATCACAGGAACACACCCCACATGAAATGCCGTCACAACTCTAGGACTTGCCACTTCATATCCACTAGGGCATAAGCAAAATTTACTACGACCCATTAATTTGAAGTAATCTTCCTTCTTTGGCAGGTATTCATGGACTTGAATTTCTTCATCTTTATCTTTCCAATGCTTTAACAAGGACTTTCTTATGTAACCATGGGCTCCTCCGGCGAAGAAAGCAAGGATTGGACGTTGTTTTGTCGAGAACTGGAGATTCGGAGGGCCAAGTTTTCCCTTGGGGATGTTGATTTCTGGAATTGAGACATCTCTTTGAGGTTGGAATCTTTCTGATGTATTGGCATTGCAAAGTACTCTGATGAAGTTCTTGTAAAGCTCAGGGTTGGCTCTGGAAATTTCTGGTGCCTGAAAATGCAATTAATTAATCAATTGTAACTAATTAGCTCTCAGTTCCCATGTCTATTTTTTTCATTTTGCATGCAACATAATAGCTTTTCAAAAGCACAGTAAAGTAAAAAAAAATAATCTTATTACACACAATTACTTCCGGTTTGATATATAATTTAAATATTGTTTCTAGAAACATGAAATACAACAAATCTTATATAAATGTGTTTAATAGAAACAAGTTAAAATGTTTTTGAATACAATTTTTTGGTACAATCCTAAAAACTAGTGTAAAATTAGAAAAATATTAAAAGTCATTTTTATAATTTTCTATAATTTTTAATCTGAAAACAATCTTTGAATATTACATCTAACACATTTTTAAATATTAAGATATATCTCAAATATTTAAATTATATTTTAACTTTTGAGAATTATTTTTGGATCACAAATCAAACAGATTCTTAATTAAATTCTGATGCCCTAAAGTTGTACGTACCCAATCGTGGCAAGAAACTGAGAAGTGGTCAGCCCCATCGCTTCGATTCCAGTAAGGATACTTGTTAGCTACAATGCCAACATAATCCATAACAAAGCGTTGCAATTGGTCACGAGAATAGGTGACAAGAGGTTTATAAAGAAAGCTGACGATGTTGACAATGCTGATGGGGAGAAAGAATGCATGCGCTTCGTCTGGATGGTTGGCTAAGAAATTGCTGCTGCCACTCTCCATCTCGTCGATGAACTGCCCCTCGATGCCGTAGATGTTGTTCACCGGTCCGACATGGATCAAGGGTAGTTCTCCTTCCTTGTAGACCCAAACCTTGAATCTCTTCTCCATTTCTATGTGGCTCCTGATGAACATATCATTAACATCTCACGTGTTAGCTATGCATTATGCATATGTAGTATCGTTATAAAAATTCTATAAAAGTATATGCAAGATTTACTTGAGCAATTAATGATAAAAATATTTTATCCATTTGTTTTTGTGTCCGTTTATTCCACTATGATGTTGCATCAAAATCATAAAATTACACTAGCTTGTTTCAAAAGCAAAATGCTAATGAAGTTGTAGTCATATTACCCCAATGTCCTAGTAGGACCTTTATAAAGTATTTTTTTTTTTTTTAAATTAATTCAGACAAATCCATTACTGGATTAGTTTGAAGCATATTCAATATCCAGTCCAAGTTTCAAGAAAGGGAAATGAAATTGATTATTTCCATATGATATGAACTAAATCTAAAATATTTGTTCTAGATAGATTCCAACTTACTTAGCTATTCAATAGAAAGGGATTCAGTTTTGATTGGAGAAATAGTTTAGATGACTTAATGTTAGTTATAATCAAAGGAAGAAGATTTTTGTTTATTATTTCATTTTAAACTGTGCAATCTTTAACTGCATATTCTCATAAGCTTGAAGGGATATGAGACTTAAGATTACACAAAATGCAATAAACGGCTGAAGAAACGGTGGAGTAGAGGTGTCTGGTATATGCTTTAAAAAAATTAATTCATTTATATGAATTTTTTTCACCTAATTATTAAATAAGGTTCATGATGAAAATAGATAAAGATTGAGACTTGAGAAGGAAGCAATCCTTTATGCTACTGTGTTCAAGGGAGGGTTACTTGAAATAGAATCATAGCATTTAAGTGCGTAGTGTACATTTCGATACTTTGTATGAAATCAAGGCAAGAGAGTGATTAGCAGCAATCCGAGAAAAAAAGGTATACTCATTTTTTTTTCTTCCTAAAAAATTATGTATAATTGGTGGGGATGATAATGGCTTTGGTTTTTATTTAATTTTTTGTATGTAATTTAGACAATCTACTAATTCTTATATCGTTTATTAATTGGTGGGGATCATTGAGTTTGGAACTTCTATTCAAAATTTTGAGAGTAAAGGAAAAGTTATCAAAAAGAAATTTGATTAAAATATGTTTTATGGCATGTTACATGAAAGTTAATATCAGCTGCATGTTACACAGCCAAAATCATGTAAACATAACGTGTTCAGTTTTTTAGAAGAGCAAAAAGTAGAATACTCAAAATGTTTTAGTTCTTAAATAATTGTTATATCACTGAAAAAGCTACATCATCATGAAGCAATTGAGATATATCATAAATGTAATCTAAACCATTTTGGGATAAAGTCAGAAAATTTAAATGATTTTTAAACTTTTATCTCAATCTCTTTGAACTTTTTGAATTTTGTCAAATATCTTCTTAATTTGAATCAATTGAGTCTTTTTCTGCTCCAAAATCTCTTCTATTAGGAAGTTTGACCAACTTTAAAACCATATCCAAATATCATGTATATCTGACCGAAAAGGGAGGAGAAGTTTTCTATTACCAAAAGAATCACTTGAACAATAACAAAGTTTTATCATGACGATAAAGAGTAGTAGTTTTAATAATTTCTTAACATTTTGAACGTCAATATATATATATATATATTGAATTACAATAACAGTGAAATTTAGATTAGAACTTGGGCGTAATTAAGAGATCAGAAACATTTATTATTTATGTTTAACAAAATGGAAAACTCTAATTATATGAAATATAAGAATTCCCAAGTATAGATAATCAAGAGAAGAAGTTGCAAAAAGTTAAGAGAGTTAATTAAAGAAAACTTAACTGATGAAAAGCGTAAGCATTTCTGTAAACGTCTCCTCTCGGAATATAAGTTTGTGGTTTGGTTGATGAATAGTTATGTGATCGAATTGCTTCATAAATAGCCGCTCGAGCTCTAGCTAAATCATCTTCAAGCCTCTCCAAACTACTCCTTTTCTGCCCACAGTACAAATATATAAAAAGACATATACAGTAAAATAACATGCTCTAGTGGAAATGAACAAAGAGATTCAAGATTACTCACTCTCTTACGCCTATTAGAAGTTACAGTAGCTAAGTTGCCACCAATGCTTTTGAGTGCCGGAAATGCAGCCGCTGAGGATGAGGATAGGAGATTTTCATGGTTTGTTTTGATGTGGGTATAATTTATGGAGCTATATAAAAAATTGGTAAGGTTGTTTTGGAGGTTCAAGGGAGATAGGTGGAAAATAAGAAGAAGAGGAAGAAGTATTAGAGCTGGTATAAGTGAAATTTTCGTTGAACAGTTCAATTCAGCCATGGCGGTTCTATATTTTTTTCAGGAGAGAGAGGGAGTGAGAGAGAAAGAGATACTTGAAATTGATGAAGAATTTCTATGTATGGAAATAATTTAAATGAAGTTACAACAAATGTAAAGCTAGTATTGTCATATATAGTTGTGATTCTTTCCTTGAGGTTTTTGTTTCTTCCAAGACAATCTTTTTAGTATTTGAGTCAAAGTAATAATATTATATATTTTTATTAATATAATACTCTCAATAATATAGTATTCTATCAAACACACTCTTAATGAGATTAGCAAATTCCATGAGCTCATTATTCTCATGTTTATTATCATTAGAAATATTAAAACTACTCTATTGTTGATAAAATTTGGTTTTCTCAAAATAATAATAATACTAAACAAATAAAAAGTAAACTTATCATCTTACTTTAAATAAATTAATAAAAATTTATTAGACATCAATTAAGTGAGAACATTTCTTCCCCTTGGGGTATTTGTCCATTGTATCATAACCTTACATTTCAAGAAATAGTAAATAATCTCCTAAATTTAACAGACATTAAAGTAAATAAGACGACTAGAAAATATTCTGACAGAAGAATATTGCCAGAATACCTTAAGCCCGTCTTGCCATACTAATGTAGCAACGCAAAAATTTTCGTGATAACTTGATATCAAGTTACACCAATTGTAACCATTGTACTTCGACACACAAATCACGCATCATTCCAGATTAACTAAAAACGACGCGATCAACTTCATCAGATTTGGCAACATTCACCAGTACAAATGTGGAACACGGGCACCAAGATTCATTGGCAACAGAATTTTGGAGTTCGGACTCCGGACTCAACATTGAGTCGTTCTAATGCATAAATCAACTGCATATGCCCAACCCATACGATGCTATTACCGTGTTGTATAGGTTCTACGGTACATAATTTGCGTCATTTTCAGAGTACGACATGGACATGCGTCAATTCAGGATTTGGCATATGCGCTTCGTCATGTTCTTCAATCCAACAATCTTGAGACTGATGTCATGGTTGTGTCCTATACGTTATGTGTGTCTGGTGTCGGTGTGCATCGTGGAATTGACTATCCCCGCTTTTCCACCACCGTAAGGGTTAATAAAATCAAGTAACTTGCTTCTTAATTACAAAGTTCTGTGGTGTGATGCTATTTTGTTCGTATGTTATTCTTTTAGTTTATATAATTATTTATTTATTTTTAACTTCTCCTATAAATATTCATATTATATATGTCTAAACGAAGGCATAACAAACATGTTACCCATCCATTAACAGACAACAATTGAGTCCAATTCATAAACATAACCCAACACTCTCACTAATTACTATACAACGAAAAATTATGATCAATATATTTACAGAAGATACATAACAAATACCTCTTACAATTAATTCGTTTTGCACTAGCCATTTTGGTTCACTCATCAAGTCTTTACATCTTTGTATCAATTTGTTTTACATGAGCCACCTGTGAACATTATCCAAACATTATACCAAGATTGTAACTTATCAACACAAAAATTATCAATAAACCATAATGAGTCAATTAATTCACATACATAATAGTTGGGGAAAAGGCTACACACAATAGAAAATTAACAAAAAAATCAAATCCAAATATAATGTTATCCTCGTCGTAAGCATAAATACTACAACCTATACCAAACATATATAATTTAAAGAAAGAATGCAGTGAAATAGAGCAACCAAAACCTAATCCAGACACCAAATTTAAGGTGGAAATCTTACAAGATGGAAGAAAAAGCCATGAGGTGGTAGTAAACCGCCCATACAAAAACTTCATATAATAAATTAATATGTTACAACAGTTTTTCCCCAAAGATACAAGGGACATACAATGATCAAACTATTTCAACGAGAATCAATTTCATTTTCAAAATCTAATTCATCCTCTGTTAGAAGATACGAGACAGAGAAAAAAGAATTGGGGAAAACTTTATTCAGTCAACTCAACTCTGTTTTTACAACTACAGCAGCTCTTTTAAATAACTAATTACAACTAATTACAATATGACACTTGGACTTCAGCAGTAACAAAAACTAATATAACTAATATCCCCCCTCAGCTGGTAATGATTGATGAACATTAAACATACCAAGCTTGGACTTGAGAATGTGATGTTGTTGCTTGCATAATCCCTTGGTCATCAAATCGGCAGGCTGTTCCCTGGTGGAGATGTATGTAGTTTTAATTAATTTGTGATCAATCTTTATACGAATCAGATGATAGTCAATCTCAACATGTTTGGTTCGTTCATGTATATTGGATTAGCAGCAATATGTAGGGTAGCTTTATTGTCACAATACAATAATGCTTGTAGTAGAAGTTTGATGCCCAAATCAAGGAGAAAACTTTGTATCCAAGTAATATCGCAACAAGTGGATGCCCGTGATCTATATTCAACCTCACAAGATGATCTGGAAATAGTAGATTGTTAATTAAAGACTCTCCAAACTTGATACAATAACCTGTTAAAGACCTTCTAGACATTGGACAGGCAGCCCAAGTAGCATCACAATAAGCCTCAATGGTGTAATTCTTCTTTGCAGAAAAAATAGGCCAGTACTAGGACTCTATATGATGTATCTCAGTACTTTGAGAGCAACTTCTAGATGAGATTTCTTAGGTGAATGCATGCACTGATTTAGATGTTGAACTGAATAACAAATATATGGTTGAGTCATACATAAGTAGATGATTTTACCTACTAATCTCTTATAGGAAGAAGCATCCTCTAGGAGTGGATCATTTGTACATGTGCCAACTAATTTATCCAATTCAGTAGTTGTCAATTTGAGATGTTGCTCATATGGAGTGTCAACTGGTTTAGAACCTAGCAGACCAGTTTCAGAAAGAATTTCTAGGGCATATTTTCGTTGATTTATTACGAAACCAACTCGTGAGCGACTGATTTCCATCCCGAGGAAGTATCTCAGGATGCCTAAATCCTTGATTCTGAATTTGGTGTTGAGATATCGCTTGACTTCATCAATGGCTGTAAGATTGTTTCCCATTAGTACTATGTCATCAACATACACTAATAAGATCACCAAACTGCTCCCATGAGTCTTAGTGAATAACAAGTAGTCATTTTTGGACTATAGGAAACCATACTCTAACAGTGCAGTGGTAAACTTGTGATGCCATTGTTTGGAAGCTTGTTTCAAACCGTATAAGGATTTCAATAGTTTGCAAACCTTCTTTTTGGTCTCAAGGTGATTATTCAGACCTGAAGGAACCTTCATGTAAATTTTCTCATTCAAATCTCCTTGAAGGAAGGCATTATAGACATCCATTTTAAAGAGACCCCAATCATTCATGGCTACAAGTGCTGAAATGGTCCTAATTGTAACCATTTTAGCTATAGGAGAAAAAGTCTCGATGTAATCAATACCTTCTTGCTGTGTATACCCCTTTGCAACTGTTCTAGCCTTATATCTTTCAATGCTACCATCTAACTTAAGTTTCACTTTATAAACCCATTTATACCCTATGGTCTTCTTTCCAGGTGGAAGAGAAACTCATTGCCATGTTTCATTTGATTATAATGTGAATTTCTGTATCTATAGCATTCCTCTGATTATGGTCACTAACTAAGCACGTTCAAGCCTATAGGTTTATAAGAGAGGATAATCCTCTCATTCAACAAGGCCTTATTAGGTGAGGAATTAGGCCCACTCCAAAATCTATCATGGTATCAGAGGTAGGTCTAGTTGAGATGAGTGCTTGACCGACAGGTGAGGAGTTAGAGCCAGCAACTATCTCTATCAACAGGCATGACCCAACATATGGGCTTGACCGTGAGGAGGAGTGTTGGAGTCCCACACCAATTAAGCATGCTCAAGCCTACTGGGTTATAAGAGGGGGTAATTCTCCCACCCAATAATGAGAAGTTAGGCCCACCTCAAATTCTATCATGGTATTAGAGCCAAGTTCAGTCAAGCTAAGTGTTTGACCAGCAAGTGAGAAGTTAGGGCCAGCAACTACCTCCATCAACAGGCATGACCCAACATATGGGCTTGACCATGAGGGGGAGTGTTGGAGTCCCACACCGATCAGGCACGCTCAAGCCTACTGGTTTAAAAGGGAGGATTAGACTTTGTTGAATGAGAGGATTACCCTATCTCACAAACCAGTAGCCTTGAGCGTACCTAGTTGATGTGAGACTCTAACACTCCCCCTCATGGTCAAGTCCATATGTTGGGTCATGCCTTTTGATGGAAGTAGTTGTTGGCTGAAACTCCTCACCTGCTGGTCAAGCACTCAGCTCAATTGAACCTGGGCTTTGATACCATAATAGAATTTGAGGTGGGTTTGACTCCTCACCCCAATAAGGCCTTGTTGAATGAGAGGATTACCCCCTCTTATAAACCAGTAAGCTTGAAGATGCCTAGTCGGTGTGAGACTCCAACTCTAACTTAATTAGAGGTAGAACAAATGGGCCAGGTTAGGCGGGCCAACCCTAACCCAGCCCGGGTATACCCCGTCGAGTAGGGTGGGCCTTCATAGGCCAACCCGACAGGTTATTTTTTCTTTTTAAAAAACCTGTCCAACCCACCGGGTTGGACAAAAAAAATTAATAAAAAATTAAATTAATTTTTTTTTTTTCAAAAACCCATTTTACCCTTGAAATATAACCGTTTCATAGCAGTTGGAGGGGTCTTTTTTGTCATTTTTCTTTTCCCTTTTTTTTTTCTATAAATAGGGCCCAAACTCTCATATTTCCTCACATCCTAAATTCTCTTATTCTCGCATTTTCTCTATTGAAATCTCTCAATCTCTTTGTTGTCAATTTGCTCTCATTTTAATTTTTATTAGTTTTTGCAATTTTCAATTCATATTTCAAAATTCCAATGCTCCTTCTTTAATTCTTTATTTCTTTTATATCCATATTTTTTTTTTTTAAACTAGAATGAATAGATATTTCCATCCCATCATTTTCGATGATGAAGAAAATTATCCTAGTCCCTTTGAATTTACTAACGTAAATGCAGTAGATTCA